AGAGGCATAGTCACGTCAATGTTTTAGTTGTTGTTTTTAATGCAAATTATAAAATAAGAATGATTTAAATTTGGTCACGGTGACAAGATTTTCTGTGCCTCGTCACATTGGTATAAACAGTACTGCTTCGTAATAGATGTTAGCATTTTAAATATTTGTATTTTTTTGTGAATGTGTAAACACATATCCACACAGAAAAAATCACCTTTTAGATTTAGGCACGAAAAAAATGTACCAAAATAGTATAAAGACAGGAAATTGAGAATTGTGATACAACCATCTGCCTTCTAGTCATGACCAAAAAGAGCATGAAATTGCCGTGATGACGTGATATTCGTCATATGACTATATGTCATATGTCTGTATAATATAATTTCTCATAATGTCCTGCCTTTAATATGAGAAAAGAAGAAATTATGCAAAATAGCGACTGCTTATTCTCAAAAATTAATTTAAAAAAAAACTAAAACTCTGTATCATTGTAATTAGATTGCTAATTCTGATCGTACTGATATAATATTGAAATCAATATCTTTTAAAAAGGAGAGTTAGTTCTAAAGAACCTTTAACGTGTCAAAAGGTATAACACTAGAGATAAACTTAATCAATCGGTTAATAATATCACGACAATTCACCACAATGCTCCGTGTAGAATAAATCTACGAAACACTACACGCAACACTAAACGTTGTTGGTGAATCAATTTTGCAGTGGTGGTCTACGCAAACGCATTGTAAAAAATGTATATAACAAAAAAGTGGTGAAGCAAGTAAGTGAAAAAATAATTAAGGTAAAAAAAAAATAAATTACTAACTAAAGAATTTATTAATCAATATAAAATTATATCATATTTAAAATAGTGTAAAAAAAATTTTCACAAAAACAAACAATTTTTCTTCAATTAATTTAAATAATAATGTGTAGTGTACAAAGAAAATATTATTTAACATACATATTTATACACTATATATAAGTTTTAATATTCATATAAAATATTTGAAATCGCATCTTCGTAACATATTTTTACAAAATAAATCTAAAACATGTATTTATCATACATTAAATAGAAAATATAATATATTACATAGCAATCATACAATTATGTACTTAATAATATATATATATATATATATATATATATTATACCATTAATTTGAAAAATTTCTAGTAAATTAGATATTTTTTTTTTCTAAAAATCAAAAAAAAAAGTAAGCTATTTGCTTGGACAAAGCTTTAATAATCTTCACTACAGATAGTTATATTACAAGTCAATTATCTAATATTAACCTACAAAATGTTTTAAGCTTTATATTGAAATTTGTTTTTTTTTCGTTTTTTTTTTTGTTTGATGATTTGAAGTCCAATTCACATACATATTTGAAATTATAAACGCATTTTCGGCAGTTAGTTTGAAAGGGGGCTTTATAATATAGTCAACCAATTTCTGTTCATTTATTGACTAAAGCTGCCTTGTCTCACAATTAGTCCATGCACAGTTTGATTCGATTAACTCGAAAACTGAGAGACTAGTTTCCATATTTATAGACAGACGTAGTACCAGAGATGTTAGCTGACTAAATCTTACACTGACTAGGCTTACAATGCTCAAAAACAAAAAAGATTTATATATATAAATAAACAAATATAAAAAAATAAAAATAAATAAATGAATATATAATCCTATATATATAATATATATAATTATATATATAATATATAATCATATATATAATATGTAATCATATATATAATATATAATCATATATATAATATATAATTATATATATAATATATAATCATATATATAATATATAATTATTTGTCAAAAGTAACACGGCTTATATTAGTTTTGATAAATGTATATTGATATGAAAAGAGTGTAATAGAAAGTATACAAAATAATACTAATATCAGTGTGTAGCGCTCGCACAACCTTACTCGTCGACGTTCGCAACCAGACTGCCACTCTTTATTTTTGACATATATATATAATATATAATCATATATATAATATATAATCATATATTTAATATATAATCATATATATAAAATAAATAAATGTAGAAACAAATAAAAATAAATAAATATATAAGCAAATAAAATTAAATAAATATAAAAGCAAATAAAAATAAATAAATACACAAATAAAAATTAAAATAAGAATATAAAAATAAATAAATAAACATATAATTTATGTTTTTATTATGTAAACTTAAATAATTTATTGTTTTAATGTCTAAAAAAAGTGTATGTGTTTTGTACACGGTATTGATATATTTTTATATTATATTAGAATCTTTCGAATATAGACTATATCAGCAAATAACTATTTTTTTGACCTATTTAAAAAGTTGTGTAATGGTTCATATTTTTTAATTTTTTTCTTATTTAAAATTTAATTTTGCCGGGTTTAAGGGCGGTTACTTAACACTCAAATTGTTATTAAGTAATACTTACTAAATTTTTTTTTCTTTAATATATTAAAAAAATTAACAAAAACTTAGTGAGTATTACGCATTAATAATTTAATACGTTTTTTTTTTAACTATTACTGGGCTTAGATCGTTAATATAACACATAAAAAATAAAAATGTTTTTTTTAATAAAAATTACGCTTATAAATTTGTGTTAAATATTTAATTGTATATTAATTTTTATAAAAAATTACGTGTATTACAGATATTTCGGTATACTTCGTCAACCATCTTCAGTGTACAATAATAAACAAAAAGAAATTACGTATTTAAATATATGTAAACATAAATCCAAAATAAAAAAAACCAAAAAAGACAAACACTTTGGTGTCTCTTTCAATACTTCACATTTTTAAGATTTAATTTTATTAACTCAAAAGCAAAACATAAATTCAGAAATTACAATTAATTAAAATTAAATGTATTAAAAACAAAATTAAAATTAAATGTATTAAAGACAAAATTAAAATTAAAGTTAAAATTAAAAATAAATGAACAAATAATGGAAGCGAAAATTTTATTATAAAATTTATTAATTATATATTAAATATTTTTCCTATGGTCGATCAGAGACCTGTAGCTTTATGCAAGACCCTCTGAGTCTTTTTAATAATTTAAGTGTTAAATAACCAATTTAAGTACAGTTAAATTAAATTTTAGTAAAATATATTTCGAAATAAAAACTAATTTTTTTTTATTTTCATAAAAATATAATTAATAATAGATATAATTGACCAATTAGACCGTGTACAAAATATGCAAATAAAATATATATATATTATAAATATATATGAATTTTTAAATATCCGCCATATCTCACTTTCCACATTATGTGATGAGAACTATAAATATTATGTACTTCAAATATTTTTGGAGGAGTTCGAAATTCTAACATATTGATGTTCGAAAATGCTCTAACACCATATATGGTACTAGAAGATTCGTTGTTATACGTATTTGTGTGAAACAAAGCGAAAAGAGAATAAAACATAAACCTGCGTCTACACTGGCTAGACTGGTCTACACTAGTTATATGTATGTATCTATATATTTCCTGTAAAATTTAGGCACAACAAAAAATTGCAAAAGTAATAGCAAGAACATGAAATTGACAAACTGATGTGATATTCTGTATAATATGCATTTTAGTCATAGCCCGAAAGAGCCAATTTTCTTTTGTTCGAAAGAACAAGATTTTTTTTCCCCCAGATAAACTTCGAAATTAAATACGTATACGTTCGAACATAAAAATTTTAGTCAATATAGACGCCGAGTAAACTAGACTTACTGTTTATGTAGCTCAAATATATTCCGAGGATTTTTGATTATTTTAAGTTCGAATTCGAGTATACTCGAACTGTTCAAGCACCATTGTGCTCCTCAAATTCTTGATAAAGAGAAAGCAAATGAATGAAAATGAAATTAAATTAAATCAACTACTAAAGGTATACATTTCAAGAAAAAAAAAACATTGAAATAAAACACAAAAATAATTAATAACAATACACGAAAAAGAAAACAAAAAAAAACATAAAAAAATATAAACAAAAATATAAAAAAATATAAAAAAATAAAAAAAAATAAAAAAAAATAAAAAAAAATAAAAAATAAATAAAAAAAAATAAAAAATAAATAAAAAAAAATAAAAAATAAATAAAAAAAAATAAAAAATAAATAAAAAAAAATTAAAATAAAAAATAAAAAAAAAACAAAAAAAATATAAAAAATTACAAAAATTACAAAAATATAAATTTATTAATAACAATACACCAAAAAGAAAACTAAAAAAATTAAAGATGTAGTTCATTCTTTTAGGCAAAATTCGTTGATTTTTTTTGCCATATTGCACTTGACGTCGTTTCCGCGATTTCAAATAAAAGTTAACAAAATAAAATGCAATCTTACAATAGTATAAAAAAATTGCAATAAGAACTTTATTACAATATCCGATTTTTTTAATATATAACAAGTACATACATATAGGAGAGTTGTTACTGCAGCCCGCTTTGGATTGTCACCAATCCTTGGACGGGCTATCAAAAATAACAATATATGTATTGACCGCTTGCATGTTTTACGTCTTTATGGTAGTTATTATTTATTTTGTTTAGTTATTATATTTAAGTTATATTTATGATTAAGTTTTTACAATTTCTTATATTTTTGAATATTGTAACTTACATTAGAAGAGGCGTGAAATTTGATTTCCGCTTATTTATCAATCAATTTATTTTCATTTTTATTGCCTACTATTATTAATTAAATCTCTAATATTAAATCTCTTTCTTTTTCGTGTATAATTGTTCATTCAAAGTTGCAAGCTACAACGCATACACACAATCTTTGCACCTAAGAACATATATCAATCTCATCGGAATTTTATAATTCACCAGTCTACCTTAACAATATCGTTACTTGATCATTAAATTATATTAATCCGTAAACTACAATTTAAATACTAACACTTAAGTTTAATAATCTATTATCTTTGTTGTTTCATATGCCACTTTTTAAAACTATGCTTACTTTGTGTTAATTCCTGCCGTCGTTGCTGACTGCTGCGTTTGTTGTTGATTAAGTGATGTTGTCGATGTGGAAGTGGAAACTGTAGCAGTAGGTATTGATTCCATTGCGTGTTGTTTTTGATGATGTGTGAGCTGTAATGTATCAGACGCAACGTCACGGCTATTGCTGCCGCTTGCACCACCTATAGTTGATGTTGATGCGTTGGCAGTTGTTGTAGGTGAGACGTTCGAGGTGGATACGGATATTGAATAGTCCAGCTTATAATTAGCACTTCGCGTAACATCGTCCATGGATGCTTCTTGGCAGTCGCGACCATTGTGAGTTTGTGAGCCGCAATTGTAGCACGATACAGGCTTATTAATTCCTATTGTAAGAGCAGTATAGGGCGAAGGAGCCAACATTGCTGTATTAGTGCCGGTCGGTTGTAATGTTGGTGGAGGTGGTTGTTGTTGCGGCTGTAATTGGGGCGGTGTATTTGTTGAAACGGAACCTGGATTCGCGGGACGTAATGCCACTGTCGGTGCGCCCGGTGGACCTCCACTTGAGAGAAATGTAATGCCAGTGGGATGGTAGGCTGGGTACAACAATTCACCGTTGGGTATTTGAAAGCTCGGTAAACGGAAAGTACCATGTGGTGCCATACCTGGATTATGTGTAATGAGCGGTGGACGACCTGATATATGTTGTGCTGCTACAGCCGCAGCCGCTGCATGATAAGGATACGAAGCGTTAAATTGCTGTTGATGCGACTGTAATATAATACCAGAATTAGTTGTTATGGCATTACCTATAATGCCACCACCAACTGCTGATGGCGAACTAATCAATACAGCATTTGCGACCATGTTATTATTACTTGATGGCGGGTTGGTACTTGAAGGGACAATACTGGCACCAGCTGCATTATTATTATTTGTTAACGAGCTTTGCATGACATTTGCAGAACTGCTATTACCTCCTGGTCCTAATATAATATCTGAACCAAATATAGATTGCGACTGCTGTTGCTGTTGGTGGGTATGTGTAATCGCATTCGTTGGTGCATAGATAACTGTTGTGCCAGTACTGCTACCAACACCGCTAGCCGGCAATATTTTGTCCGGTCGACCATTATGCCGCGAAAGTGTTAATTGTTTTGGAAAATTTACCTGTTGCTGATGATGCTTCTGCTGGGGTTGTTGTTGTTGCTGTTGCTGTTGTTGTTGTTGATCAGGGCGGTTGGTTTGATTCGACATAAGAGTTGGAGTAATTGGTGGCGAAACTTCACCCGACGAACCAATTGAACTTCCAGAATCGCTTCCTCCGCTTTTTCCTAAAACATTTTCTTCTAGAACAGTAGTTTCAGAAATCGCCATATTTTGTATGGCATATGGCAAAGCGTAATTTCCCGATGATATTGCGTGGAAATGTTGATTAGTGGGCGGTTGTGGATGAGGTGCAATAAAGTTACCAGCCTTAAGTCTTGGATGATGTGCAGCCCTAGTAAATCCGTTTCTTATTAGATTCTGCAATTGGTTTCCAGAATTGTCACTATTTACACCCTGCAAATATAATATATTGAATATAGTATGCAAAAGTATAAGACAAACATAAAAAAATAAAAATAAAAGTTGTTCTAGATAAATAAACAAAAAATTTAGGAATAACTAATGCCACACACTTCATAAAAATCAATACTCAAGCAACGATAATGTATTTTTAAATTTTCTGTACGACAATTTCAGATTTTAGGAATAAAACGAAAAACGTTTTGGGATCTGTAAGAACACAATTTTTTTCATTTTAACATCTACTTAACCATTGAGAGATCTTATTTTACTCAAGCTCAAGAACTTCACTTAGCTAGCACAAGTGAAATAAGAACTCTTAATCTAATGAAAACAAACGACAGCTGTAGGTTGCTGTAGTAGTAACCCATTGAAACCTTAAAACCAAGTATATATAAGGATGACAATTCTTAAGTAAATGGAATAAGAGGAATTTGGATAAAGATAATAAATAGAGAATTAGTGAGAATGATTGAACGTAGCTGAGATTAGCGTGAAGCAACTTTATCAGATGAAAATTGAAACTAGCATGGGTCCATGTGGAGAAACTTTTACACCCGTACAGCTTTAGGTAGTTGGTGTTGTGGTGAAGAGTTTTTCTATTTTTAAAAACAGAGACTAAATTTTACAATTAAAAAAATATTTTCTTCAAAATATCTTAGTCATTCAAAATTTTTAGGTTAACATCTACCTAAGTTTATTTAAAAAAAAAGGTTTTTAAAATAGTGTCGATATGTTACACAAGAGAGTTCCAATTTGTTCGGAAACAAATAATTTTCATTCGGAAAGTGATGTATTTTTTTAAAAAATGCAACCTAAAATATTTTGAGTCCAACAACTTTATATAGAAAACTAACATTTTCACCGATTCAAAAAATTCGAGATAAAAAATATTATTTTAAAAGGAAAGCAAAGAATATTAGAAGATAATGAAGTTATTTTAAATAATAAAATAAATGAGTTTCTTTTGAATAGAAAAATATTGTAATAGGTAGTAAGTCACGAACGCTTCACAATTGATACTGCCAAAGACATTTAGATACTCATTACCTGTACAATTACTACTTTTTGCAAATATCTGTGACATAGGAATAAACGGAGTACTAGCTCCCAACGGAGCGGAGCACTGCGACCTTGATTGATCTTTTGTGCTGCATATCTATGACATACTTGGAATATGTTTTTTAATTTCATTAAAAACTAATACGTTAAGTTAACAAAAAAAAATTTGGGTGTTGTCAGATCAATCGATCAGAATATTATTTTCTTTGAACAAAAATATCCAGTTAAATTCATTCAAGTGAATCTTTCCTATATAACACATGAACGACAAATAGACTCCAAATTAACTAGAACTGTTTGCGATAATCATAATAATAAAAATGTCGATAATGATAATATTTTTGGTATAACTTATAAAGATATTTTACCATTTTCTCGTCAGCTGCATATTTGTTGAAAGATACAAATATACTATCGCAATAGGAGGCTAGCGTCCCTGGGCAAGAACCATTCTAGGAAGTAAAATATACGATTTCAAATTTACTGCATTCTTGGGTACTGACACAAGACCTTTATTTTACATCACGGCAAAAAAAAAGCAACATAAAATCAGAACTATCTAATAATAATGGAAATACTATAGATATTACTTAAATTGAACTGTACCTTGAAATACATTTCATGGCCGGAGATTAAAATATCTATTTTCGGAATGATAAAAATAGTAAACACATTTTTAAATCGACTTTAAGGTAAAATCCTTAAGGATACTAAAATTACTTGATCATAGTATCACGTATGATATATCACCAAAAATTTTTGTGATAAATGTTGAACATCTAGTTTGAAGAATTTGACCACTATTACACTGACAAGAGGGTACGACAGAAATCGTAATATATAATTGTGATTATTGGTTTTATTAGTGGAATGTTAGTACATACTATGCGATGAAAATATCAAATCTTTCCAGTCAAGATGTCTTCTTTTTGCAAATCACTAACGATAGGTTTGACTTAGCATTGTCATAATGCAAGACAAACTCTCAACTTGAATTAATTTTTATCTAATATCTCGCTTTAATCGCAAGCAAACAGTAGTAATGTATAATGGAAGATGATACTCTCACAATCCCAACATACACAAAGCATTAATTACATGTCTGCAACTTACCATAATACTATTTTAATTAAGTAAATTTTTGTATAACATTATGGTATATCGATTTCAATATCTTCTACCAGCATTTCGAAGATGGAAGATCGGTATATCACAACTCTTAAATCATTTTATGACAAACATCAGACGAGCAAGTAGTTTTATAGAATTTTGTTATTGATTAACAATTCTTAGCAATGGTGTAACTTCTACGCTACTAGCCTTTCATAATTTTAACCATTATTTCTTGTTCTTATTGTCAAAATCCCTTCTCAAAATCTTAAAAAGAGACACGCTTTTTGAGTACCTTTTAGCGGCAGGGTTGATTTTTATGTTGAGAAACTCTTTTCTGGGAACCATTTCATCCAATGACAATAAATATTTAGTTTATTTTGCCATACCAATATATTTTTTTTTGGTTATATATAACGCCAAATGATTATAGTTAATGCAGGGCATTATGGGTTTTTTGGGTCAGCAATTAAATAGCTTTGAAATGTGATAATTCTAGTTTTAGCATGGCGACACAACACAGGATACTGAGTGCGATCAAGCAGGTTCCTAAATCCACTCAACTTTTTAGATGACCAAGTGACGCTCGCCATTTTCAACACAGATTTCCACACACAATAACGTATGCGATGGTGTGATCATACAATTTCTATGAGAGGATTATTTTTTATGTGGATGTTACATACCCAAATAAACCAGATGCACTGGTCGTCTTGTTTTATTACCAATGAAATTGACTTTTATTTATAGCACATTTAAACCTTAATGGCACATAATTGGCAGTGTCACGATTTCAATGTGTTCTATTTCACTTCAAAAATCAAATCATTAATTAAAACTCTTTGTAATCCATGTCTTGTAGATGAAAATAAATATATCTGTGATCTAATATTTTGTTTAATTTGATCTCAGCAGACAACTATTAATATTAAGTTTATTTGCGACAAATTAGTTAGTTAATTTACTAACTAATTTTTATTCAAATACAGTTATAAGTTTACTTTCTTTATTATTTATTATTGATTGTTTATACTTGATTGTATTTGTTAATTTGAAATAATCATAACTAATATTTATTAGGACTTATACAAATCACTATAAATTCTCTCTGACCCTAACTAAACCATTTTATAAGAACATTATTTTAATTAAATAACATAAGTAGTGTATAGGAATATATAGGAGAAAATCAAAAACTTTTACAACTATTGATATGTGCCAGACACGATAGTATGCAATAAATATTTTTCAATTAATTTTGAACATATAGGGAGGAAACCTATAGAATATTAAAAAAGCTATTCGTCCCTTAAAGCTAATCATTTATTATTCATAAATATTGCATACCTTATGGCATCAATTCAATAGTTATTAAAGTGTTTAAATGAAAATTGAAGTAGAAAAATATATTAATTCACATACATAGTATCAGAAAGTCATACCTGAATGGAGCAGAAGCTACGCAATTTATAGGTGTTATAACGTTTCATTGATGAACAGTACTGTAAAAGGCATAAGGAGAATTTGTCGATACATAACATTAAATTTTGATTAAAACATAATCTCTTAAGGACAAAAAAGTTGCCATTCAAATTCAAATAAATCAATTATTTTTAAAACAAACCATATATAACGTGTCAAATATTCAGCTTTTAAAACAAGAAATAAATGAACAACTTAAAACTTACTAACTGAATACAAAATTAAACTTAAACTTAAATTAAATTGAAATAAACTTATATTTTTTATGTATTTGCGTTTGTCAACTGCTTTAGATTCAACTAAAAATGATTAAAATTATGACCATCACAATATATTATATATATTCTGTATATATTCTTTAATTGGTGTTATGTCTCATAAGTGAATTTGAACTTATACTGTCCCTTTTCCGGACATATAATAAAGAAATTAACACATTTTATTTATAATTATAACAGAATTGAATTCTTAACAAATGAGTTTTATGATACTATTATGAATATATCATATTATTATATGATAGTATATATAATCACAAGACTTCTCTTAATATTAAAAATATATGAACGAAAACTACAATTACAACGGTCGACTATCTATTATCCATTTATGATAAGTAGGACTCTACCCACCATCACCTATCTATATCCTGACACATGTATATGTCTTTGTAATTCCTTTCGTATTATCTACTTTATAGATCCTTGCGGACTACAACAACAAAAACAATTAGGGTCTGAAAATATACAACCCCGACATTATAAACATGAAACCTTTTCAACATTTTGAAATGTTTTGACAAATCCGATTGTTTTTTTATTTATTAAGACTGTTTTCTAAAATTGTAGTTTTTATGTGAACTTATTGTCTGTATTTCCAACGAACACATATGTTTAGTAAAGGAAATATAGTAAGTATTGGCATATAATATCACAATATGTTTTTATTCATATAAGTACTAGAAAATGATACATATATTCAGTTATCAGCTATTGTACCCATTGGACATGTGGTTTTAGATATCTTTGAAAAAAATACAAAAAACATTTGTAAAGTACAAAGTACAGAGAAAAACATATGCCATAATATCAGAGAACCAGTTGAAAGTGCGTCACTATACGAAAGTATTATATTTTTAACGATCGCGTATGGTTTATATATACTTTTTAACTAGATTCGTTAAATTGAAATAGATTTTTAAAGAAATCAACTCGCCATATTTATGTAAAATGCTTGTATAAATACATAGCAATTATTAAAAGTAGCATAACAATTAATTTAGTTGAGATTTAGACTGAAGTTGTATAAATTTTCAAAATCCGAGTTTATGTCAATAAAAGTTTATATACACTTAAATAGTAATTTTTAAAGATACTAACAAATTCAGAAGAACTTGCTTTTATATATATGAATCTCATTCCACAATTAATTCCAACATTGCATATCTTACTATTGATGATTCAAATCAAGGAATTGAAAAGATAACAATCATAAAACACATTTTCTCTCAGAATACATATATATATATATACTTTCGATATTCTTGGAATTAAATCCAAGTGGTTTTTTAAGTGTTATATAGATAATTTTGGAATTACAAACTATTTTATTCTGTTAATAAATGAAATATTATGTTACAATTATACAAATGTAAATTATTATAATATTATAATAAGAAATATAATTGTTTAATATTCCTCCACAGACCCAAGTTTATCCTTTATATGACACACGAACTGTCTTATTCTTTAAAACAAATCTAATTAAACTGTTATATATATGTAATCTGCAATTTTATTTCAAATTATATTTTATTTTATTATTGAACTTCTTTGAAGCAAATGAAGTATTTTCCTACTACTAGACTAATATTAAAACGGCTGCATCGTACTGCCCAGGTCAGTTATAAACTAATAATCCGTTTATAAAATAAATTTCTTTAAACGTTTTGTCAAATCAAATATAAAAATAATATTTTAATTCACAGTCAATTATGTGTAAATAAAATATAAAATTAAATTTTTGAATTTCGAAAATTTTGTTAATAACTTACATCGTCAATGTGTTTCATATTTTGAGGCAAGATAATATCACTTGACATCATTTGCTGATGTTGCTGCTGCTGTTGCTGCTGCTGTTGTTGATTAATAGGCGGTGGAGTGGTCTCGGACGAAGGACGACGGACGTTTTTCATTGAATTATTCATTCTTTGCTGCATATTTCTCACTTGTTGCTGTTGTGTTTGCATGCCTTGCTGCATAATATTTGTATTTGGCGTACGATTAGGGCTTGTAGTACGACTACTTGACGGTGATGATTGTTGACTTAACAGTGGTGAGGATGATTGTGGCGGATGCTATAAAATAATTTTAATTTATATCTATTTAATTGGAAACACTAAATGTGTTAGTCTATATGAACCTCAATTGTTGCAGCTGGTGGTGGATATGGCCGGTAAGTCCAAGCTGCATTTGGATGTGATATAATTGTTGGTTCTGCTGGAATGGAGATATTTGATGCAATCATATGAGGTATTCCATCAACTGTGATCTGATGTTGCATATTCCCATCGCTTGGGATTGTCTTTAATTGAAATATTCAAAATATTAATACAAAATAATAAACAGATAGATATTGAAGAAAATATGATGTACTCGTACAACGTATGATATACGAGTTACTTTTTCCAAATTTTTTTGTAATCTTTGCAATTGCAATTCGTTTTAAACGAAAAATAATATTGTGTATAAATAATTAATTCTAACCTTTGTCAAATGAGCTTGGGGGAAATTCATAGGAATAGTGCCCTGTGGCAGCACTTGTATTGGTGGTGGCGCAGTCAACAATTGTGGATGTTGGCCACTTATATGCATAGCATGTAATGCATGTTGTTGTAACATTTCCTGGTGAGTTGGTGGTAAATGTTGTCGCATGTCTGGCTGATGCGGACCATGAGAAACCGAATGTTCGATATGCGCTTGTTGTTGTTGTTGCTGTGCATTCATTGTTGGCATTGGATCAGCAACTAATTTATTTTCTTTGATGCGTTCAAAAATCTCAATACATCTCATATGCTGTTCAAATGAGAATACTGGATGATTCGCCGCCATCATGTATACAAGCAGTAATTCTTGCAAGGTGTCTAAGTCAGTCATACCAAGGAAATCGCGCTCGCCCCATGAATCCAATGTACGAAATATATCAGCTACACATGAACGATTAAAAGCACGCATTAATGCTAAGTATAAGGCCATCATACGACGTATTTTCCTATCAGTGGGTTCACCCTTTTGGCAAGCAATCATATCAGATGCCAAGTCAGTAGGATTGTTTACTCGTAACTCCATGCCACGCAACTCTTGGGAGTCTCGACGACCTAATTCCTCCAAACATGTGCCCAAAAAGCGCAACTCAAATGGTAAACACATGTTGAGCAGAGTGCACATTGTATCGATCCTCTTATAACTCTCAAGTTCCTTAAACCATAAAATGAAGTCCTTTTTATTAATCATATCCGTCGTCACATCGACTTGTAAGAATCCGAGGAAGAATATGTGCCGTGACACTAATTTTTAAATAAAAACTTTTGTTTTATATTATATTGTTATGTAGCATTACTGCCGGACAATGCGGCTTTCAAATATGATTTTATTTTCCTTTTGCTTTTTAATTTGGACGTTAGAATTTTATTCTGTAGTAAACATGGGTGGTAATTGTTTTGTTAACCTCGTTGCAATCAAAAGAATTAAAATCTGTACAAAAAAATAAAAACAATATTTTTATTCTTAACTTTTTATTATAAGACAATAAATCAAAAGAATTAACTTACGGTGGCCGGAGCATTCCGCACCACATTGACACTTTTTTTTAACAAATATTACTAAACAACACTCGTCACTAGTTCGTTTCACGAATATGCTCGTTCCGTCTTCTTCTTTCTGACGACTTTGCGCTTGTTCTTTATATTTTACCTTCCACTTCTTGTCATTTATACTTCAATCTATTCTTATTTTTTCGCAATTTCTTTACTTGGTATGCGTATAAATTCCCACTTCTTTTAATTACATCAAAATACTTTAGATTTATAATTAAATAGCAAATTCACAATATTCCCTTTAACAATTAACACGAAAACACTAAACTGTATTATTAATAATTATTTATCTTATAAAAACTCTGCAAATTCAAAGATTAGAGTAAAAACTCACATTAATGCTCGACAGAAAGTTAGGAAAATATTTCAGTGTGCCCAACAGCATTTTCTGTGCAGTTACACAAAAAATTACCAGAGTTTCTGCATCGCACAAGAAAATATTTGTTTCGTACAGCAAAATGTCATATGAAATTTCTCGTTTCAACATGTATTTTCAGCGGCAATTTTATAGACATTTACACTATCAATCCTTTCGTCGAACAGAATTTTCATACATATCCGCAGTTAAATATTCGAAAAGTTTAAATATTTCAACATATTTATTAAGTATAATCTACCAACAAATTAAAATAATATCCCACAATGCAATATCAAAAATAATAATATGAAGAACCACTAAAAAAATACATTCCACCTAATAATAGATATATTCTTTTGACATAAATGTTCCAATAGAACAACTTGTGTGGCTCGTTTGTGTAAATTGTTCGAATTCAATTTGAACGATTTCTTGCAAGAATGTTTTCACTTTTTGTCACTTCTTTCAAGTTAGCCGTTTATGTAGCATGAAAAACTCACCATGTGAAAACGTTATGATGTGATGAGAATACGTTGATTTTACCCGCTGTGTCGGCGTGGGAGAAGCAAATTTGTTATTTAAAATTTTGTCACTCTCAAGAAATTCCACCTCAAAGAAATCTGGTTGCAGATACTGTAAAAGAAAACAGAAATTGTTGTTATTAATATGTACAACAAAAAATACATATTTTATTTACCTCAACGCCTGCTCTGAAATCAATGCTATCAACAATTTATCCATACTCTCACGAGTTTTCGGCCCTTCCCTTCCCTGGATTGACTGTTTGGTCGGAAAAGCGCTTCATTGCAACTAATTTTTTTTTATTGACAGCTTCTAGTCCGCACAGTGTTAAATAAGGTCAAATAAATTATATTTAATAATTATTATTAATAATAATAATAATAAAATAAAATCTGTAAAGTAAATAATATTATGAATAGAATCTTTTCGCATACTCGTACATATGTTAAGCGTCACAACAACGTAAATGGTAAGGTAACGGTAAAACTTGCAAAATGTTTGTATTATGTATTACTAGTTGTATTTTATTTATATTGTTGGTAATGTATGTAAAATTAAATAAAATTAAAATAACAAATAGCACTTGTACCAAGAGTGCAAGTTTACAAGTACAAATTTATTCACTTCAACTTATCCTTCAGAAGCATTTAGATTTTCAGCACAGTTTCGCCAAAAGTTTTCAATCTTTTTTATGACTATACGGATCCGTAAATTGACCCCGAGCAATACAAATATATTGCTTTAACAGCTCTAATAATATATATTAGAGCTGTTATTATTAAATTGTTCATAGCTCCAGCTCTTCAGAACGCAATAGAAGATGAACGTCAATAAATTCGGTAATATAATTTTCAATCTTCTAACATCACTAGTTGCTGCTAAACTAGCAGTATTTAGCATTGTTTTATTTTTCTTGCAATTGTCTTATAACTTTTTGCTTTTATTATCACGATTGTATTTTGTATTTATTCATGTTTTTCATTTCTTAATGAACATAATATAGAAATTATAAATTCCTTAATAAAAAATTGCCGCATGACTTCTTCACAATTATTAACCTATCAATCAAACAAATTTTATTAAAAAAATTACTTTTTTTAAATATTTAAATTTACTCATTAACACCCGTAACAGTTATAATTAATAAACAAACAGCTCTTGCATTTGACTAGAATTTTCCATTTTCTTTCAGAAATCATTCATAATATATTGGTTTTAAGATTTGGCACCATTGTAATGTGGCTCGCTTAATTAGGCCTTTTCGGTGGCTCGCAAGTACGGCAAAAAATGCATGTTGGCCTATGTTGGCCACGCGAGTCATTGGCATCACTGTTGCATTCTGTCAAATGTTTTGTTTTGACAAACAGCAAATCTTGTATATGTGCATATAAATCAAATATATTTTTATAAAAATATTATAAAATTAAAATGAACACGGAATTAAAAGGAATGGTAAGAATATTGGAAATTTAAAAATAAAACACTAAGATAAGTAAATTTTTGTAGGTACTGTCGATGTTGGGAGAAGAAAGCAACGTTTTACTTGCGTGTATTTCTATAAAAAAAATTTTTACGTATGTAAACTACAAATTAAATAAAATAAAATAAATGTTACTTGGTAATAACTAACATAATAAAAAATTCAATGTGCTTAATACTTACGATTTCTCCATTCTTATTATTTCTTTGTTACTTTTCAAGATTTTTCAAATTTTTGAATTCTGTTTGAATTTTTATTTCCTCAATATTTGACATTTGATTGCACTATTCGTTAGAATTTTCAATGAAGGTTCACAATAGTTCGCTTATTGCGTTGGTAACATTTTTTTTTTACTGGCCGATGTGGTTGGCCAGCATAGCTATGCTGGCCGAGGTAGAGAAAATAGTGTTGTTGTTTTGCGTGCATTGCGGCCAGTATAGGCCTGCATAGGCCAGCAACTTGCTGTTTTTTGCCGTACTTGCGAGCCACCGCAAAGGCCTATTGTTAAGCAGTTTCAGAAAAGTGGGCTTATTTTCACGCACTAATATTGTTTTGGCTTTGCATGTTAACTTTTAAGCAATAATATCTTATTGGGGCATTTATATTTACACCCAATAGTGGTAATATATAAAAGTAAAGAATCATTAAGAAATTGTGCAATTAATAGGCGTTTTCGATGGCTCGCAAGTGTGGCAAAAAATATGTGCATTTTTACATTTGGTATAAAAATAAATAAATAATATAAATTGAAAATTAAAATAAATGTAAAATTAAAAGGAATGGTAAAAATGTTGGAAATATAAAAAAATAAAAATAAAACACTGAAATTTTTTCTTTTTTGAATTTTGTTTAAATTTCTGTTTATATATGATTTTTGACATATGATTGCAATATTCCATGGAATTTCCAATGAACGTTCACAATAGTTCGCTTATTGTGTTAGTAACACTTTTTTCTTTACTGACCGAAGTGTATGGCTAGTATCCAACTACTGGCCTAGATAGAGAAAATGGTGTTGTTTTACGTACATTTCGGCTAGTATAGGCCAGCAATTTGCTTTTTTTTTGCCGTTCTTGCAAGCCACCGAAAACGTCTAATATAGTATAATTGATCAATTACTTAAAACTATTGTTATAAATAAAAATTAAGAAAAAAACTTAAATTATTTTATACTAATTTTTTTTGTATTTTTAATATTTGAAATTTAATCTATAGTAATCTTTAGAAACTGACAATTTTATAAAAAAATACCAACTAACATGTTAAAACACATTATGGTGAACAAAATCTAAATATACATACAAAAAAAGTAATAGTTTTACCACTTATTAGCACTAAATTTTTAAATCGTATTGAAATATTAAAAATAAAATAAAATTTACGCAAAATAATTCTAGTTTTTTTTCTGAATTTTTATTCATAAAAATAGTTTAAAGTAATTGACCACTTGTGCCATATAAAAATATGAAGGTAAAATTAGTGACTAATGTTGTAGCACATAAATTCTATAAAACAGCACTTTATAAATAAAAGTAATGACTAAATTTGCATATAAACAAAATTTAATGTGTATATCTTGTGTATATTTTTATTAATATAGTTTCTTTTAAGAATATGTAGTTCGGCTGCTATTGCGATACACTCGTAGTTGTAAAAATATGGGTAGCTTTTGTCTGATTTGTTAGGATTTTCAAAGTCCAAAATTCCAAGCCATAGAGTAGAATGGACCAGACATAGCACTTAACGTAGCAAATATGTAAGTTGATGCTAATGTTGCTATTGCATATCACTTTTTTGAATTTATGGAAAGATTTTCATGGATAGGCCAAAATCCCTACTCTTCTCATTAACTTTTTCAAGAAGAAGTTGAAGATCGTCTATATTATCAGCTATGACTGTTGTGTTGTCTGCGTATCTAATGTTATTTATAAATATACCATTTACCTTAATGCCTTTGTCTAGACCGTTTATGGAATCCTTGAAGATTGCTTCTGAAAAAATGTTGAACAAAAGTGAAGACAGGATGCATCCTTGGCGAACACCTCTTTTGATTATTAAGTTTTGGACAGTTACATCTTTCAGCTTCAGCTCAGCAGTTTCGTTACAGTACAAATTTCTTTTCAGTCTTATATCTCTATTGTCTAGGCTCATATTTTCTAAGATTTGTATAAGCTTATCATTTTTCACACAATCAAAAGCTTTTTAATAACCGATGAAGCAAATAAAAACGTCTTTCTGAATATCTTTACAATTTTGTACTAAGACCTGGAGCTTGAAGAGATCCTCTCGTGTTTCCATTGCTTCTTTAAAACCACACTGTGTGTTGCCCATCATTTTCTCACATTTCTTGAATAATCGCGTGTGTATTATTTTCAAGAATATTTTTAGGATATGACTCATCAAACTTATAAGTCTAAATTCACCAAATCGTATCTACTAGTAGCTTTTCGTTTCAGAGATGTTGTAATTTTGATTTTGATTTGTCTTAACCAGGTTATGGTCTGACGAAACGTCAGCTCCTTGGTAGGTGCTAGCAGTGATGACTGATGATGCGAATCTTTTGCTTGTCAGTATGAAGCCAATTTGGTTGCGTACGATATTTACTTCACCAACGTGAAGTGATGTCCAAGTGTAAGATGTAAGCAAAACCATGTGTCCGTTATTTTGAAGTTTTCTTGTTAGCAAAATTGTGCGAGTTTGCCGACCCTGTCGTTCCTTATTCCAAGACCATGCTCACTAACTATTCCTTTCACCGCACTTGATCCTACTTTGGATTTAAAGCCTCCAATGATGAGTTTCAATTCATGAAAATTCGTATGTTTCAGTAGTTCGGTGATTTCTGCGTAGAAATCGTTGCTTTGTTCTTCAGTGGATTCTGATGGGGGGCGTAGACTTGTATGATATTCATTGCAAAAGGTTTTGCGTCAATCTTCAAAAACATTGTTCTGTCGGATTTCGGGATCAATGCCGTCACTGAGAAATATGTACTTTTGTCATCGGATTGAAATTTACCGGGGTTATTATGACTTAATTTAGTAATCTAGTAACAAATAAAAAAAACCCAACAATTTAATGGTAATGTTAAAGACATTTCACTTACTAAATACTGATATAATATAAAATATACAAGAATACAATTTTTAAAAAATTTTGCAATATGTAAATGCAAAAAAGTATATGTATTACCCAATATTGCAACACATAAATGATATTTAACAGCACTTTATAAATCAATGCGGTGAATTAATTTATATACAAAGATATATGATATGTTGTTAAGTATTTATTTCTTTTATATATATTAAATTTTATTACTATCAAAAATATGTAGGGGTTGTTTGAGTTGACGTTCATTGATTCTAAAAAATTCTACATCGCCTTTTTATAAACTTTCCACATGGTATAAGTAATATTAATTAATGTTTTTAAATTTGCTCTTTCAGCTTGTTTAATTTCAAAATCAAATCTTCTCCTAGTCAATGATGAGCACTGAGACGTAAGGTGGAGTACGATTTTTCTTTTTGTTAGTTTCGCTTTAGTTGAAGCATCTGTACAGTAAGAAGTTTGTTCAATTTGGATCAGATGTCTTTTGTAATCTGACAAGAATCTGTATCTACTTAGGCTTTCCAACCATAGGTGTTTATATTTAATTGCCAGTTTAGCCGTTGCAAGAGGAAAACCAATGTCCGAGATGTGAATATCAGAGATCAGTGTGCCTACTTTGGCAAGTTGGTTTATGTAAAGTGTAGTATAAGTATCTGCTTGGTAGAAGAGAGTTAAACTTTTGAACTAGGTTTAGGTATGAACACGCATAGGCAATGGCACTAGAAGATGGAAAATATTGATTCAGTACACTTATGTACTCTATTTTTTTTCTAGGTTAGCACTTTTGAGCTTTAAGTCTGACTTCTACTAACTTAGTTAGCTAGTTTAACAAAAGCCTACACAGCAACTAATGATGTAATGCTTTATTGTGCAGAAACCCCAACTTACTTTGTAGAGTAGCGTTAGGTAACTAACTTTCACACGTCCTTGCTACCAAAAGACAGCCTCATTCTAAGTTCAATGACGGTTGTGTAGAGCCATCGTATTACTTACTTGAGTTTATGCGACTCCATAATGTACCTTCTTTCCAACTTGAGAAGGTACATTACCTGCTGTCTCTACAAATATGCTTATAGGATAGGTATGCTATGATACGGAGGGAAGTGTGCGATAAATGATGTTTCTGACATGTAGGTTAATAACTAGTGACCAATATTGTAGCACATAAATGCTCTAAAACAGCTTTTTATAATTCAATCTAATAATCAAATTTATATATAAATGAAATTTAATGTTATGTGAAATATTGAATTCTTATATGTATATTTAATTAAATTACTTTGAAAAATCTGTAGTTCGATTGTGTTTGCGATAATGTCCTGATTGTAAAAAATATTATGCGGCTTTAAATTAAATAAATTGAACTCAATATACCAAAAAATATAATAAAAATAAAAGGTCTTTATCAATGTCGATGATCTCTTTGAGAGAGAATCGAGAAAATAGTATATCCAATCTAAAACTGCTTCAAAAACAAATAATTTAGTTTATAAAACACTATATTGAACCATAGAATCCATTCACAAAGCTGAAAGACTATCTCAATCGCATCCATTCTTGAGTCAAATAAACAATGCAACTATTGATTTATTATAATGACCGCAATTATAATGTTAGAAAACTCGATATAGGTTTTTAGTCATGTCGTACTTCTAATGTGAAGAAAAGTTAAAACTTTAGGCAAGAACCTTCACATAATTATGTAGTTTCTTAACCTATAAGAAATTTCTTGTAAAATTTATTAATGTGACTTTAAGATCTTTGGCGCTCTATCATTAAATTCCATAGAGATCGATGTTCTTAATTATGACATTCAATAATATTAGCAATATACACATACCGCATACTGGATTCTTTTTATGTCAGCAGGAGATATACTGGTAAAAGACGACTTAAGGCCTCCATTTTCCCTCTTGGTTATTTATAAAGCAATGTATTTGCTGAGCAACCATCGTATTCAAACCTTTACGTATTTGTTGGTGCTGATTGTCTCGTTGTAAAATATGCATGGCTTTAATGTTTGTCTTCAAGCATACAAGTGTAGGTAAAGTACCAGACTCACCACATCTATTAAGCTTCAACACCTTGTCAAAGTAGTGTCCTTGACGAAGGCAAGTTTTAATGTAGTTTTACATAAATAAAACTTTTAGACTTAATTTTTTAAAAATAAGTATTAAAAAAACACTATGAACAAATATAAATATAAATATATATGTATAAAGCTTGTTTCAATGTTAAGTAAAATCAGTTACAATTTTTTAATCCATGCATTTGTAGTAAAAACTAACGTTTAAATGTTAACTGTCTCCATGAATCAATTCATGTTCTTTCAACATCCCCAAATTACTATTAAATAAATCAGAATCCTTAAGGAATGGAATTGATCTCACCATCCACATGTGGTGTAATAACAAAGCCATCATTTTAAAGGGAGCTTCAAACGCTCTTATTTACTTTAATTAATTTCACATTAATATTTGAAGAAACATTTTTGACTATAAAGCAATCATGTTTTCCATTATTAAATCTAGAAAATAGGTCAACTTATAGTTGTTGTTATAATTAAAAGTCGACTTGGGAAATAACTACATAAATGGAGTGAGATGAGTGTAGTAATGTGGTTTAAGATGAGAGATAGGTAAGGACATAGGTAGGAATGTCAAATTCTATGTAGTCCATGTCAAGAAATCGTAGCATCTTAATAGAGAAAACCAAAGCTCAATAGATTTCAGAATTGTGTATGCATTTAGACATGAAAGTAGTAGAGCTTCAGTTGGGATATACATTTGAGAAGTTTTCGTCATCAGTCTTGATAACCTTTCACTACTTCAAAAAATACTTTTCACTAAAACTTATTGGAAACAATAAAAACCCATATAAAGCATTTTAATATTGTTGTTGTTACCTTGTTGCAATTTCCAATATTCTTTAAATTCATTTTTGCCAATAAAAAACCTAATAGGAAAAATTTTATCACATAGCATAAAACTGCGGAGATATGAGCATTTTTTCATCAAATCCACTGCTGTCTAGTTTTTCCCAATTTTATGAGTGCTTAACAACGTAAACATTATATAATTTTCTTTATTTATTTAGAAAAGATAATACATTAATAGTTAGCATGAATTAATCATAAAAACTATTTAACATCAGTTTTGATTACAATTTATTTATATAAGAATCCTATGTTTAAAATCATTATGTGTTATGGTGCTGAAGCTAGGATATTTGTAGTAAGTAAGTAATCAATTAAAATCCATCCTCATCATCTTCAGCCATTTCCTTCGCCAGCTCTAGATCTTGCTGTTCTCTTTCTCTGCGCTCCTCAGCACTTTCTAAATCTTTACCATAGCATTTTGGTGGGTAGCGCATTGCCTTCACGCTTTGATTATGTAAATCTAAGCAGAATGTTATGCGTTCATGGAACGCCAATTGTGGTTCACGAGTGCTATAAACATCCGTTCCTTCTTTACTTCTCATATAACTTTCTTCGGGATCAATTGTGGCTTCAATAACACCATCACGAATGGCCTTTGCAACAACGAACTCTGCGTCTTCAGCAGAGTCTAACATTAAGCGCTTGGCAATATCACTCAATGATATTCGCGAGTATGATAATCCGATTGATCGAATAGCAGTCTTAATGACGTTATGTCTCAAACGGATTATAAGAGTATAAGTATGGTCCTGTTGAAATTTAGGACCGAAACTTTCAACAACTTCACCAAAACGTTTAAGATTACCCAAGCGCACAGCTTGTGTGAGTTGAAAATATGGTGCCAAGGATTTGCGTAACGCAGCCTGACGGAATACTTGGCGTTCTGGTATATTACCAAGTAATAGCTCAACTACAACTATTAATTTTTGTACAGTTTGCCTAAATCCAACAGCTGCTTGTTGTGGCGCTTTCCTTTGTGCTTGAACTAAATGTTTATGAGCATCTGTGTATTCGAGTTTGGCGGTCTTAATTCGACCCAAATAATAAAGATATCTTGCCCATTCATTGTTGCTTGCCGTCTCAGGGAAAGTCGACTTTTTAACAAGTTTATCAGCCTGATCGTACAATGCATAATGTAAATAATTGCGTAGCAAACAATTTATCAGCACTGCTTGACCCTCATAATCATTACGTAGTGTTGCTGTACGCAATCTCGCATGAAGAATGCCTCTAATACCTTCGAAAGTGTTATTTAGTTCAGCAACGTGAGAATAATAAAAATATGACTTGGCTCCAATCAAATCCATGGTGCGACGAGTTTGACCGCTAAACTTTGCCATTAAAGCTTCTGCACATGCATACGCCGTTTTAATACTACCCTCGTCTATTAATTTAACAAGAAGCAGCAAATGAAAATATGCGTCTACTTCAGTAACTGGTGGTTTGGTAGCAGTACGATTTTTTGTTGGTTCAGGTTCAATTGCTCCAACTGGTAACGCAGGCATAAAAGCAAGAACGGCATCACGTTCAGCACCAGCAGGGAAAATACTTAATGCTACATTACGGAGTATAGTCCCATTTAATTTACGACGCGTATTGAGTAAAGACCGCAATATGCGTAAAATAAACCTACATTATTGGAATATGTTTAAATGATTAAGTACTTTTAAGAAAAATAGTGAATATATGGATATTACCTAGATTCCTTGATTGTAACTGCTTTTTCAATTTGCCTCAACTGTTCCCGAATTTCTTGAGTTATAGTAACATCAGTATCTTTTTTGGGTTCTACAACGTCAGCTACATCGACTTCCATTTCCATTTCTTGCGAAGCCGCATCTACACTTTTGTTTGTTCCAGTCATCCTTCGTTTTGTATCTTATTATCGTACGCACTTCTCAACTATTAATTCCTACTGCATCAAATGTTTCCTATAGAAATTTGCCGAGTAATGATTTGACTGAAACATCTACTGAGTTGTCAACTGTCAATGAGGGAGCATATAAAACGAATGGAATGAAACACAAGATGTCAAACAGAATAATTTTTTTGCAGAGCACAGAACTTGCATCGAACTTGCATATTTGGTTTAACATAATAATTGCAAGGTAATAAAAATAAATCGATTTGTCTTATAAAACTCAAATCTATATATTTTTAAAATAATGCTTATTTTGCATATATACTTATATATACAAAAACGATATTCACAGAATATGCTTGAAGACAAGGATGGACAGACATTTAACAATAATGACAAAGAACATTTACTTTGTGGTCTACATTTTGAGAAAAGAAATCATCAAAAAAAATTTTTTATGTCAATTTAAATGAAATAAAAACTTAACTTAACATATGTGCTTAATATAGGCCGTGTGCGAGTTCGAGTAAATTGATGGTAAATTGATGGAAATAGTGAATTATGTCAGAATGTGGCATGATCGGTATGTTGATATTTACCAAAAATTCGAATAAGGTAAATAAGATAATAATTAGGTAAATTAGGTGTTACTATTATGAAAATTTTATAAGATATTTAATAAATAAATTTGAAAATTTTTAACCAAAAATAATAGACAAGTACAATAAATAATCAAATAAATTTTTACATCTAAAAATTTATATCTCTAGAAAATTTTAATTTACTTTACCACAATTTACTCAAACTCGCACACGGCCATAATACATATTACAGTTAATAGCATTTTGCAGTACTTTTCTAGCAAGTGTCACTGACTTCACTTCAGTAATTATATCAACCAAAATATATAAAAAAAAGAAACTGAGAGTTATACTGAATTTACGCAAGAGTTTTGATTGTAATTTAAGCTGTCATTTTAAATTAATCTTGATTCCAGCAGCAAAACAAGTTCAAATCAAAAAGATTTGTGTGGGAATTTTAATAGCTAAAAATACAATTGAATCATAATATTTACAAAATCTAGTTAATTTTTACTTGTGTTATTAACCGTAGCACAGTATTATTTAGTACAAACTTTTTAAACAAAATGAAACAAAACTGTAATTTAATATATGTACATATCATTTGTGAAAAATATGTATCATATATACAAAGTAAATATTTTGCAAAAGTAGTTAAAAATTGTGGACATATGATAAGCCTGATAATCAAATCAGGCTTAGTCAGTTTAAAATTTTTTAACAGCACTATTTACAATCGTGTGAATCCAGTATTACTAGAAAAATTATATACAATATTTTCTCCATTATACAGTAAATAATCAAAATTATTTAATGTATAATATAAAGATATTACATAATATGAAAATATTACGTAGTACTAAAATAAAAAGCCCAATGCTACACAGTTGCCCTTAACAATTTTTCTCACCTAATTCCATTATTTTGCAATTAAGACCATTAATATAGATAAACTGAAGTCGAAACACATACAAAAAGTAATGAGTTAAAATACTTATTCAAATTAAATTAATAATGATTTTCCAATAACAATAGTTTATACTACTTTTTTTAAATGTTAACAAGCTAATATTTAGTATTTAGAATTTAGTAAACATTTTAGTTATCAACCACACCAAATTAAATATTTGACAATTGTGGTATGGTGAATACATGAGAAATATTTTTTTGCGATATTAAACGAAAAGGCACAATTATTAATAAGCAGTAAAAACATTTACTTTATTTAAATAAAATATTAGTTAAGAATAGAAATGAACGGGGTACTAGCTCCTAACGGAGCGAAGCACTGTGACGAGATTGATTTTTTCTGTTGCAACAAACCCTAACCGAACAAAAGACATTCCGCCTTCCGAATGAATGCCAGAATGTCGGTCGTAGAGGACCTTCTAATGTCAGAAAGGGAAAGCAGCTCTCCTCCCAGTGACCTCCTCCTGGCCCAGATCAAGGCTGGACAGTTACAAAGAATGTGACTGGAAGTCTCGTCTGCTTCTAAGCAGAGTCGACACTCCATCTCTTCGGACATACCCATTTTATTAAGGTGATAACGCAGTCTATGTAGACCCGTTAAATATCCCATCATCAATCTCAAATCTGTTCTGCTAAAGAAGGATTCCTTACCATAACTGTAGGGATGAATCAGCTGTTTAACCTGACGGTTACTTCGACTGTCGCGCCAGTAGCGACTTCTCTCGGCTGAGAACCGTTCATCAATCAGAGACCTCGTTGCAGACCAACTTAATCCACAGTAAGGTTCCAGTCCACAGATTTGAGTGGCAGTGGAAGACTGTCGGCAGACTCATTATCATTTATTCCTGTGTGACTAGGCACCCACCAAAGCGTCACTTTGTTTTTGCTTGCCAGCTGCTGCAGCGTATCATAGCAGTCTAATAGAAGTTTTGAGAAGAATTTCCAGGAAGATAATGCTTTGATTGCTGCTTGACTATCTGAGTATGTACAGATTCGGGCGCCTTTCAACCCATTGTTTATGTTGATACGAGCGTAGACCTCGATGGCATGAACCTCTGCTTGGAAGACAGTGGGTTATATACCTAGCGCGATCGAAATTCCGGCGTTGGAACCAAATATTCCAGCACTAATTTCTTTTTTGGTTTTTGAACCATCGGTGTACCATGAAATCAGTTTTGGTTCTGCTTCGGGAGTGCCATTTTCCCAGTCCAATCGATCGGGAATGAGAAAATCGAATTTTCTACCAAAGCGAAGTTCCATGTTCAAGCGATCTGTGTTATCGCAGATCTCTATGCCAGGAACTAGATAGAGTTTTGACTGTCGAGATTTCCGTGCATATTGATAACAGGGTGTAGCCTAGCTGCATATTGCTGTCTTTTTAATAAAAAGGTGCAAAGGGGCAAAACCCACTAAACTCAGGACTCACCCAGTGCTGATGTGGGACATGATCTAATAGTTCCCGTCATAGCTATTAATGCGAGTCCTTGCAGCTTATTACATTTGAGTATTACAGCCTTTTGTTGTGTTTTTTTTCACTAAACAAGAGCTCCATAGGATACAATGGGTCCATGATAGAATTCTGGGACTAAGGCTCCACGTTCTACCATATGAGTTTCCACATGTCCACATGACCCAGGTGGCTTTGCCATTTATATTATCCAGGTGAGTTTTCCAGTTAAGACGCTTATCTAGGGTGACCCCTAAATATTTAACTTCGTCGGAGTATTCGATAGCCGTATCTTTTATTGATGGGGATCTAATAATCAGTTTGTACCTTCTGAAAAATGGTATAATTACTGCTTTTTTTGGGTTAATACTTAGACCTTCTTTTCTACATTAGTTCAAGACTTTGTGTAAGGCCGCCTGTATTACGTCAGTAATGTGTAGTCTAGCTGTTTCGGGCAACTTCTCGATATCATAGTGACTGCGCCAGCTAGTCCGTTTGGACTGTCTGATTGATTTGCTGTAGTCAGTGAGTTTAATTCTGTATTCTTCCCACTTAAAAAAGCGTTTTGTTCTATTGAATAAGTTCCTTACTTGTTTGCGCTTATTAGCTAGTTGCGAGTTCCACCAAGGAACCTTACCTACATTTGTGGCATTGCCTCCAACCGTGCTGTAATGAAAGGAGGTTAGTAGTACCTCACCTAAATGGTTAGCGGCCAACTCTATCTCTTCACAAGTTCGTAAAGGCCTAGCTAGAGAAAAGTTTGCGGAACAAACTAAGTTCCTGTATCTATGCCAATTGGTTTTCTTTGTTCGGTTTTTCTTGCAATTCGGATATACCGGGAATTTCTAACCTAATATGCTGTTGGTCAGAGAGTGACATTTTGTCCGACTTTGTCCATATAGATTTCTCAACGCCACTAGTGCATAGAGTGAGATCCAATAACTCTTCTCTAATTGCATTAATAAAAGTAGGTGTTCAATCACGAACGTGAACTATGACCCCTGGCAGAATGTTCATGATTGAAAATTCTGCCGGAGGTCATAACGTAATAATTCATGTTCATGATTGAACATTCTGCCAGGGGTCATAATTCATGTTCGTGATTGAACAGTAGGTTTGTTACTTTTATTAGCTATGATTAATCCTAAGGTCATAATATGTTGTAATAGGTACTCACCCATTTGTTAATATTGCTGCTATCCCACACTGTATGGTGAACGTTTGCATCACAGCCTAGACTTAGCTGCCGCTCCGTAGACTTACAGAAGCTAATCAGCTGCTAGAATTCCGATATTGGAACGGTTTCTTCTTCACCTGGGAAGTAGGCAGAGGCCATGACTATATCTGTGGCCCCTCTAATTGTTGGAACTTCAATTAGAACCGCTGTTAGGTCTCTAGAAATAAAATTAGTTAACGGAAGATGTTTTACGTATCCACCGATTAAGATAGCTGCACCAGCTTACCTGATTTTGAGTTTAGGCCCCGAAGGTGGCCACCGAACATCCACGGCTCTTGAATAAGTCCTAGAGCGATGTTGTTGGTTTGAGTAATTCTACACAGGGTGTCGAATGCTCCTTTAGCATTATGCAGATTTACCTGGAGCACTCTGAAAGTCCTTATTAGGTCTCGTTAAGAGACCTAAGAACCTTAGCACCCTTTGATTACTGCGGTAAAGTTTTATCGACTAAGGGTGGTTTATTGAAAGCGGTCCTTGGTTTACCTACTACTGTCACTGGGCCCGTGGAGGGCATTGTGGACTTAATTCCTAAGGTGAGAATCTGAACTTCGCGCCCACTAACAGTGCTAACAGCCTTGCTAGTGTATCTAGTTCTTCTTTCTCAAGAATAGTCACTGTTGGGCAACTGTCCGTATGGGATGTTGCCGGAGCCGAGGATAACTGGATGGTTTTGTCATCCTGAACCACTTTTAGAGCATTACGCAAGGGGTGAGAGAGAAGGGGGTGGTTCCGTTAAGCATCAATCTCAGGTGTCCGAACCGGAATGCATGTATCAGAGAACTGCAATGATTACTCAATACTCAAGTCATTCCAAATGATTGACTCTATTACGCTTATACACATTCTGGACCTCTTACCAGAATTACCAGCGCTTCTTTCAACTACTGTGCAACTCC